GGGTACACCAGCGGTCGGCAAATATGAGGCTTTGAAATTAGAAACCGGGATCCCCTGTACACCTGCAAGACCAAACGGTTTCTGTTGTTGGAGAAATCTGTGCCTTAGACATAGGAGGGTGACAAATATTGGCAGGACATGGGCACGGCGCCTTGGGATACCAATTTAGCGTGCAAAAAATCACGGCCACCGCAGCTCACTCGGCCGTCTGAATTGATAAGCATGATTCGTTCACCCATGATCCTAGGATAGCACCAGGCCTGAAACTGAGACCTGGAAGCTTAATTCCTGGCGGTTCTTAAACTGTGGCACCCGCTAATGGGAAATTCGAGATTTTTCATGTTTCTCTTTCTAAGTTTTTGCAATTTTACACTAGTCATTTGCATCTCGGTATCGATAACCTTGACCAGAATAAAAAAACGAAAGAGCGACATCCAACTATTCGAAGCGACATACACCAAGTATGGGTGCTAGGATGATCCTATAATCTAATCCATATAGCATGCTCATACAGTTTTGAACAAACTTCTACGATTTGATAATATCCTCCCAATCGTGTCTTTCTCAGGGGCTTTCATTTACATAAGCCTCAAGTGCTACCAAGATGTCGACAAGTTCAAATTCCCCGTATACTCTCGATCCGATCAAGAACTTCTGCGCGATCAGTGGGCAATCCAGTTAGTCAACGCACCATCGTATAGAATCAATATATCAAATGATACTGACATAGCATCCAACTGTATAGCACTTGTCCTCGACAACACCCTCTATGTCACGACCGGTTACGCGCCAGTAATAGACAACGGCACAGTCCGGATAGCATCAAGCCCGTGGATCCGCGCCATAGATCTCTCCCGTTCCTTCTCCCTGAACAACACTGCATCTGTGACCACCATCCTCCCACCTTCCATCGTACCTGTTGACATACCCGACGTCCAAGGAGCTTCATTCTGGTACGACCCCGGCTCAAAATCGGTAATATATGCGCAAGGCAATCCGACAGTCGAAGGCGGTGTCATCCGCGATTCGTCCCAGGTATCGTTCGGAACGAACGGGAAGACCTGGATAGGACAGTTTCAAGAACAATCTAAAACCTTCAAGCCATGGCAGGAGGAAGACACACCATTTCCAGGACAAGCAGGCTTGACGTCCTCCTTGCGTCGCTTTTTCGATCCCGTGGGGAGGAAGGGGTATATTTATGGTGGAACAGTGCAGACCGGTGACGCCGATACAACAGGACAGAGAAATCAACTATTAACGTACGACGCTGTTGCACAGTCATGGAGTAATAAATCCACGCCATATGGCGCGTTTGATGATGTCGGCGCAGCGATACCATATCGTACCGCTGCCGGAAAGCTATTGGGATTGGTCTTCGGCGGGAATCTAAACGGGACCCCGTTGAGTATGACTACGATATTCATCCATGATACCGAAACAGATACGTGGTACCGTCAAGATACAGGGACGGATGAAAACAACGCACCGATAGCGCGGGGACATTTTTGTGCGACATCGATACAGGCACCTGATAATAGCAGCACGCAGATATTGATCCACGGCGGGTTCGGGGCGACGCAGAAGAGTGATATCTGGGCTCTTTCACTTCCGTCATTTACATGGACAGAGTTGGAAGCTTCTTCGCCGGATTTCCTTCCAGGACCCGGTTTGAGATTGCAGCCGAGTTGTAATATTATTAATAATAGGATATTATCAATATTTGGAGGGAGGAATTTGGTTGATGGGGATACCGGGCATTGCGATACAAACCAAAATGCGCTGTTCATGTACGATTTGAACAGGAGGAACTGGACATTGCGATATGATGCGACAGACACGAATCAGTATAAGGTGCCGAAGGAGGTATATCAGGCCATCGGCGGAAAGTATGTCTTGAATGCAATCTATCTATTCATTTGGATTTGTGACATATTTGAATGACGCTAACATGGACTGTTCACTTGTAGCTCCTCAGGATACGCAACAATGACAGCCCCCAAGGGCGGTTTCGCAACCCCGACGTTAGCAGAACTATTCTCCCTCACAACGCCAACAGAGGTCAGCCCCTCGACAACCTCGCCAATCGTACCGCCAGACACGAGTCCGAAAAAATCAAATACTGGTGCGATAGCCGGCGGAGTGGTAGGTGGTGTTCTAGCGCTAATTCTCGCCGCCGTCCTCTTCTGGTTCCTCCGACGGAGGCGGCAGAGATCCGTACCACCAGAGTTACCACTAGCAGAAGGATATCCACCGCTACCGCCTACACATCACGGTCATACCGTGGAAGCACCGGGTCCAAATGGAGGTATTATAATGGAAGTTGATGGGTTCCCGACTCGGCCAAAGTATAGCGAGTTACCGAACGGGGAGCATGAAGTAAAACCCCCAGAATCGAATATGCCAAATATGGTTGTAGCAGAGCTACCTGCCGAGAATCATCATCCGGGACCGAGATTATATAACTAATTTTCTTGACGATACCTATTCTGTTCTTTCGATCGCTTCAGTTCATGTCTGGATGGACATGGGAAACTCATTTTTAGATCTACGATATGTATATAATATTACTTGCACAAGATACCCTTCGACGCCGTTCTATTTCCTATATACGCATGCTCAATCAATGCAACCAATGTCAAATTCAAAAATCCCAATCCAACGCCCTGTAATGCCTATTAACCACCGTGAAACAGCATGATTCAAACAAAACCAATACCAAAGAACATGATATGATGTAAGAATACCTACAGCCTCCTCAACCTCTCCAGCTCTGCCTCGATCCACCCTTTCTTCTTGACCCATACTTCAACCCCACCATTCACAACCTCCCAAATTCGCAACCAGCCTCCCAACTCTTCATCATCCCACAGATCCCCCGCAAATCTTGCATCATACTTTGCCATCCTTGTCTCATAAATACCCCTCAGCCCCCAATATCTATCCACGCCCCCGCTTCTCCCATCTAATTCACCGATCCACATTGTCCACTCTGAGTTTTGGGGTCGCAGTTCGGACGGATACACCGGAGTCAACGCTGTCGGAACGGTATATATGTCTCGAAAGTTTAGAACACAGGTTACCGTAAACGTCGCGGGGTCGACCAATACCGATCCAATGTTCAATGAATTATGAAATAAGGTTAACGCAGAATACTGGTCAGGAACCGCGGGTAGCAGGCCTAACAGCCCCGCCAGCCGCCGTTTTACGCTTCTAATCTCCTTGTGCCGTCCGTTTCCCCCATTCATCGCCAGCGATGACCCCTCTGCGGCTTGAAAAACTTGCAGACATAGATCTGCTAGATCTGTAATCGGTGCTAAAGACTCCGGATCATTCCCAACATCTTCATCCGCACCAAGGAACGGACCAAGTAGGAAACTCTGTTTCGGTTTTTTCGCCTCCGATTTGAAGAAGATATTCCCGATTCGGTCGATGTTAAGTCCTGCCGCATTCGAAGCTTTCATAATCTGACATTGGACTCTCGCCAAGCCGTCTAGTAGCGTCGCACACTTTTTCCGATCCTTCAGAGCGCCGTTAGTGCCGCCTTCTAATGAAGCTACCGAGCGGCCTTTGAGTGATCTGACGACGAGGAAGGGTACTTTTGCTGCATTTGAGGGGTCGAGGTTGTGGTACGCTATTTCTGGTGTTGGTATTGCAGGACAGTTTCGGCGAATGAATGATATTGTAGCTATCTCGGAGAGCATTTTTGTCGGTTCTGAGGGGTTTGTGGCAGATAATGGGATGAGAATTTGATAAGGTAGCGACGGGTTTACGATTGAGAAGAGTTTGTAATGTGGGAGAGTATCTACATAACTTCAATTAGCAATCGGCTCTTCCTAAACGACTTAGGAGGTGAACTTACCGTTCAAGATTAGTCTCTCGGATCCTCGCAAGGGAACACCCATCTCTTTGACTACTTCTAATAATCCGTTGACGTTGAATCTAACCGGCGGTACCACTGATTTCGTATGTTGAGCGTATTCCCTATCTATTTCCTCCCATGATTGTCCTCCCTTCCCGCTTACAACTTCAGGCCGTGGGTCTTCGACCCCATCCGACGCCAGCGGCATCCCGGTATCCCCAGGATGGACTTCCAAAGATGTATAAAACTGCTCGTGATGTAGCTGTTCGTTCGCAAGATCGGTGTCTCGTCTCACCGGTGGCGTCCTCGTTCGCTCGACAGGCAAAGGTGGATCATCTGCAATTCGGAATTTCGGTGTGATTCGTCCGTCCGATTCTTCGTCGGATTCGTCAAGGGTACTCGGTGGCACGATATTATTCTGCCATCTAAATACCTCCGTTCGACCGTTGGCATTGCCGTTTCCATTCCCGTTACCGTTGCCGTGAACGTAAGCGTGGGCGTGTCCGTTTGCAGCCACATTGTGGTGATTATTCACAAGGTACCGCCCGCCCACTTCCTCTCGATTATAATCCTGTAGGAACTCGCCATTTTCACGATCGCTTATATTATCCCCATCGTCATCTTCGCCATCGTCGTAACCATCTCCATCCTGGTTTTCGAGGGATAGGATTTCGGAATCTTTAAAGTCGTCGGAATCGTCACGGAGTTCTGGTTGTTGCTGGGCGCGAGAGTGGGTTGTGCTCCGCGAGGGGACACGCGTGGATGCTAGAGGGATATGAGATGCATTGTTGGTCGTGGTAAATTGTGACTGTTTGATTGGTGACTCTGGACGGCCGGCTGCGACTGCCGTCTGTCGCGATGTAGCCCGTCTGTTGATGAAGTTTTGGAGGGAAGTCATGATCATTATTTTGCCGTCAGGGTTGTCGAGGTCGCATGTTGTCGCTGTTGAGCCGAAAAGGCTGAAAAGGGCGTTTCGCCAGGACGACGTGTTGTCCTCGTGTAACAATAACACGGGTCACGTGAATTAACCATCATCGTCAAACAAGCGATCCAACACGTGCAACACAAAGCCGGCTAAAAACAGACCCTGGTCGTCCGGCTTTAAAGATTCTTTTTTTCAAACCGACGGAAATGAAAATACGACTGGTTGGCGCAACGGTAGCGCGTTCGACTCCAGACAGTTCTTAATTTGGCTGTTAGCAATCGAAAGGCTAGGCGTTCAAATCGCCTACTGGTCATCCTTCCGCTTCCTTTTTGCAGAATTTTTGGCTAAAGTGGTAATCCTTTTTGTGCTGCACCAGTTGTGTGTACTAGTCTACTCCGTCGCATCACTGCGGATTTATTTGCGTTAAGTGTTTCCTAAACAACGTTAGTGTGGGGATGAGTTCTTAAATCTCTACGAGACTAGCCGTTGATGGGAAACATTGGTCCGGTGTGTGGGATCAGAGGAACTTGGAGTCTGAAAAATGAGTCAATGTTACCATACTTTTACAATTGTAGTACAGACCGGTATTACGTCTATGATAAAAAGTCGGGGATAGTAGCTTTTTTTTTTGGGGGGGGGAATATTTCGATGCTTTCTGGCATAGAAAATTAAATTTACTTTTTACTTTCGCGAGGATTTAATTCCGCAACCAAGTTGGACTAAAAAGGCAAGAGAAAATTAACACTCTACATTGTGTTGGTGGCCTAAATATCTATCATCGTTGATGTTCCTGTGTACTCTTGCCAGCCCGACAGTTGTCTCCGAGAAGCTAGAGCTCTTAGTACTCGGTTTACTATGGATACTTATCATCGAGTGCGAAAGGGTCATACAAAGAATCCTATACTGTCCGAACAGGAAAGCACTCGCAGACACATGTGCATATAAGCGCTAATCTTTTGCGATGCTGAGATGCTGATCATTAAATCCAGCGAGGTTGCACCAGTGTCATACCCCAGCGCTATTCATATCTAGATCGCACAAATTCACTGGGTTTTCTCTTTTTTTTAAACCGTCCATTAAATTACTTGATCATTAACCCCTCTAATAATAGAATTACAATTAAACTCCAATTAATGGTCCGTTGCACTCATTGTGCAGCCCTGCATTTGCTACGACATTCCATAGAGTGGTGTCGAACCGCTGGCCCTTCCAGCCACCACCTGCCAGCGAACCGACCGCACAAGCACTGTAGATTGATTCCGCCACGTCTGCAATCTCAGCACATGGAACAGTTATGGTCGAACCGGACTAGAGATTTAGTATAAAATTAGTATCTATCCTTTAATCTGATGACGCAGGTATCATAGATCGAGTATTGTAACTTACATCGCTGCAAAGATATAGGGCGATTCCCTGTCCGCAGAACATTGTGGAACAGCTATGAGGAGCGACACCGCAGCCGATCTTTCCCCATTCACTGCGGAACTTGGCTACGTCAGAAAGAAAGACGGAGGAGTTTGGTACCGGGTTGCCAGCGACTTGGCCACAGATCGGTCCACCTTTGAGCCAACGAGGGTTCAAAGATAGAGACTTGTCATCGACTGGAGCGGCAGAGACAGCAGACGCTAAGACAGCGAATGCGGTGGAAATAGTACTGAACTTCATTTTGAAGGTGGAAAAAAGTAGATTGGAGAACAAAAGATACAATTAACAGATCTTGTAGTGCTATCGCGGTTGATTAGGCTGGGCTGTGAAGATGCTCTTGACTAAGTCAACTCGACAAGCATGAAAGCCCTCTTTATATAATTTCCCAAAATTGAGAGCATTAAGGGCTTCGAATCCTATGTAGAGAGCCTGCTATCCTCACAGCAATTCATTTCGAGGCCCTCCGATTTCAAACAAAATTCTTCCGGCCTCCGATGCCCCCTTCACGATATCACCGGGCAAAGCTGTAACTAGCCCGAAGAATTAATATCTGTCATATACATGCACATGCACGCCTTCCGATTGTCGTGCCAGCACCGTATGATATCTCTGAGTTGCAAGTCCGAGTTTTCGTGAATCCAGCTTGGACTTTCCAGGTTGATATCAGCTGTGCCCCTTCAACACGCTGTTTAGCCCCCTTATGAACAAGCATTTTATAAAAGCTAAGCTACTTCGCCGAGCTCCGATTTACGACTTGGACCACTCGGTTGTATATATCTGACGCACGCTGATGACTCCTTCAGCAGGTTTTAATTTTCAGGCAATCAAATACCATGTCAAAATCTTACCGCTCGGAAGTTGATAGCGGCTCAATGGGCAATATTTGTGCGATGTAGGATGCTTTTCGCGGGCTTTGTTTGATTTTGGTAGGTGCCATGTTCGCGGGCCTCATTCAAATATCCGGTGTCTTACCTAGTTTAGCGGCTTAGATTTGATTGATTTTGATTCGCTGGGGGTGCTCATTGAACCTTCTAATTGGCCTGCGGTAACTTCCGGGCAGGACCAAAGGGCACAGTTTCAGAGCAGCATGAATCGAACGCCGGGTGGGCTTGAAATTTCGGCCCGCTAGGTTGCAGGAATAGAGATTTCAGAATATGATTTTCGTGTTGCAAGGTATAGAATAGCTTCGGGACTAGGTAGAGGATATATCCGGGTATTATGAAAGCCGACGAGATCGATCCTAAATTACCATCGACTTCTGCAGATAGATCCTAGATCAAATGAAGGCCGAACGTAGTCTTTTGTAAGCAGAGAGATAATATCTGCTCAAAAAAACTCTCAGTCCTTCAGTGCTACCAGCTTTATAGTGTCGCTAAGCAAGGAGAGGCGTATTTGCATCCTGGAACAAGCATGTATATGCTCAATTATTCTCGCAGCCTGCGGCCTTAATCTCGATGGCACCCATGTACGTATTTTGGACATCTCCATGGCCTAAACTTTCATTAATTCAAGCTAGATGTACATGCGAACTCCGTATCCCTAACACGAATAGAGATACATGTGATCCGCATGCACTACCTATTAGCTCACCAGGATGAACATCCTAATCCTGATAGTCTCTCTACAATACCTCCTTTTCCTTACTTCTTCAACAGGGTACATCCTGACCTTCACACTCAAACCCGCAAATATCGCTGAAGACTTGGATCTCACTCTATCATCATCCACCGACAACAGCCTTGATAGTCTTGAACAAATATTCGAAATCCCTAGGCCAGACTCGGTACTATATAATCCAAGAGATCCAGAAATCGAACCAACAATAGATCTCGGCGAAACCCCATCTCCATTAAGCGGCCTCAGCGGAATCGCAGGAAGAATCTTGACCCCTCCCAAAACATTCCATCCTCCTATTGCGGACTACTCGGGTCGCTTGGTTAACAGCCGACGGCTATCCCAAATCCTCGCCGATGCGTCCGGCGCAGAGCTCTTACGCGGTGCGAGTCAGCAATCACGGGTGTCTCAAGAACCGGAACCAACATTAGATCTAGTGCCATCCGAAAAAGTTAGCGAACCGATTGTTATTGGTCGTAATATCCCTCCGAATTCAAATGGACGATGTTTCGAATTCAACGCACCAGAAATCGGATTATTACTCCATTCTATGAGCTTCTCTAATTTCGCAGACGAAGATGACGTTCCCGTTGGCATTAAGATATTCTCGCAACCGGAATGCACAACGAATAGGGGTTTCATAGGTTACAAAGACCTCGAAATCGACAAGAATCGAGAATACAATGAGGTAGATTTGAGCAGATTAGAGGAACCTGTGTCTGATGTATTCAGTGCGATGCCAGTGTATGAAAGTCCATACGGGGGTATTACAGATTTACTTACGAATGAGGAGGTGGTGAGGGACATAGGATCTCGACCCGCAGCTCCGAACGTTTTGAATACACCGAAGAGAGTTGATATCGGGTCTGATGAGAGCTTGTTGGTTGATCCCGAAAAACCAAACTATTGGACGGATTTCGATGTACCGTGGAGAGGATTGGAAGAGATTGGTTCTGTCGAAGAAGAAGAGAAAACGACGACCCCCGGCCCACTTGCAAGAAACCAAGGTGGTGGAAATGGAATGTATTTCAACCCTCTCTTGCAGGCCGGTAAGAAGACACTGGGCACCCAGAGCCTTAATGGGTCACCCAGGAATCTGAAGTTTCAATTCGCGGATAGCGACAAAGATTCCGGATTTGATCCAATAAGGCCATCGGATTGGACTTTTAATATGGGTCAGCGAGACGACACTCCTCCCGATGCTTATTTAGCTTCTCTGGATATTTTCAATACGGATGAGAACCTGGGTGGCGACAGTGCGACGTTCCTAGACGAGTCGGTGTATGGGCCACCTCCTTTATGGCAGATAAACCAGCAGCCTGAACTTGCAGATCTAGAATCTTGGCAGTATCCCTATAATCGCGGGAAGGCTTCATCAGAGGACAAGGGTATCTAGGGAATAGGCACTTAAGTTGACGTATCCATAGTTGAGCTTGTCCGGCTATTTAGCTATATTTCTCTTTAAAGTCGCTAACAATACTTTGCTACTTCTAAAATTTAGTTGTTTCGGTTTGGATCTAAAAGTAAATACGCGTACTTCTCAAGCGTATAAATGATACCCTTGTATCGGTCTGTTGGTTGTACAATATGGATTTTCAAATATGTGTCACGAATGGATTTGCTTCCTCGAAGGGACCTATTTGAACAGTTTTAGCACCAAATAGCCTAGATTCATATGTGTACATTCAATATGATACGTAGATTCAGAGTTTTTTTTTCGATATAAGGAGTACGAGACACAGTGGCAAACCAAGAAGTTCTTGACACGGAAGGTACATCTCTCTGACTCCGATCTTTTGCAATTAGCAGATAAGACCCGCCTAACATGTGAGGAAAAATGTTGCGAGAAGTTAATTTACAAGTAGACCGATTGTGTAAATCTAAGATCTCATATATATCAAGCAGTATACTACAAGCCTCGGGGTAATTTGAGTATCGAAGGCGAAAGAAAGAAAATCGCATTCACAGGTGCCGTATTAATTGTAGAAGTTCTTGAACTAAGGTAGAGTCGATTCTGGTGAAAAGTATCCAGAACCGGCATATCAGCCTTGCGAAGTCAAAGTATTAGTTGTGATTACGTAATGCACCACCACCACCACCACCACTCCAATTCTAAGCCACTTTCTGAAAGCGATACACTATCCTCTCTTTTAGAGTGGTTGAGATGCTATTTTCACTCAAAATTTATCTTTCAAGATCCCAGTAACCTAGCGTTGTGGTTTCGTTTGTCGGAACAACGTTATGATACTTTAAAAACAACGGCCGTCGGTGATA